CACCTGTGAGGATTGTCTTACCTGTAAAAGCACTCGACAACGTAAACTAGGAAGAACGGGAAGGGAATTGCGGCTTTTGGATGTCATCGTATCAGACGTCATGGGTCCTTTCCCGGAGGACGTTAACGGTAACCGCTTCACAGTCACCTTCCGAGACGTAGCAACAACCTTTTCAGACATTGTGATCATCAAGAACAAGTCAGACGTTCATGACGCCTTCACTCGGACAATCAACCGTTGGGAACGAGAAACAGGTTTCAAGGTGAAACATGTACGTACAGATGGTGGTGGAGAGTATATCAAGACCACTTTCAGTAACTGGCTGAAATCGAAAGGGATTGTACATGAACATTCTAACCCTTATGAACCAGAACAGAACGGAGTTGCTGAAAGACTCAACAGAACCATTAGTGATATGGGGAGGACGATGTTGGTGGCATCCCACCTACCTCAAACCTTCTGGTCTTTCGCTTATGTCACAGCTTGCTACTTACACAACAGGCTACCAAACAGCCTTACTGGCGACAGCACCCCGTACGAACTTTTTTACGGACGAAAACCACAACTCGACATCATTCGGACGTTTGGATCGACTGCCTTTATTCATCGTCATGAAGCTCAACGTCACGGGAAACTAGATGACAGAGGGCGGAAGTGTGTTATGATTGGGTATGTTGAAGGTGGAAAAGGCTGGGTGTTCTACGATCCGGGTTCCAAAGTTCTCCTCAAGACTGGTATTGCTAAATTTCCTTATGAAGACAAGTTCGTATATTCGACACCCGAATCACCCAAGGCGACTACCTCAGATTCACTGAACAAGATACTGAATGATCCACCTAAGAAAGGTGCTCTTGAATTTATCATAAATGCATTGACTCTCGGAGATTTCACAGGTGAAAATAAGGTGCAGGAAGAGGATGCTTTAACGGACAGTACTAGTTCTTCTGTAAATTTGCGATCATGTTTGAAGGAACCTAAGAACTGGAAGGAGGCAATGAATGATGAGTACTCAGAGGAGTGGAGGAAAGCAGTGGATGTTGAATTGAAGGCGATGGATGATATGGGTGTGTGGAAGATAATCGATCGACCTGACAACGTGAACGTGTTAGGACTCAAATGGGTTTTCACTCACAAACAACTGGACTCAAATGGTAAACCGATTAAATTCAAAGCCAGACTGGTTGCTCAAGGTTTCAATCAACGAGAAGGCATCGACTATGATGAGACGTTTGCGCCAACTGCGTGTGTAGCGTCTTTGCGTTTTATACTCACTCTGTGTGCACGACTCGGTTGGCCAGTACATTCGTTTGATGTGACAGCGGCATATCTTCATAGCGACATCACGAAGAGAATCTTCTTTAAATTACCACCTGGTTGTATGGAGGCAGCTAGGAAAGCAGGAAAGATACTAGAAGCAGTGAAGGCTCTTTATGGGACGAAGCAAGGTGCTAGATGTTGGTGGAAACATTTTGAAGGTATTTTGAAGAAACTTGGTTTTGTACCAAGTCAATTTGATCAATCTTTGTATGTGTGCAAGAGGGGTGATGAGATGTGTATAGTGTGGGTACATGTGGATGACGGTGCAGTGACAGGTAGTAGTGTAGAGTTGTTGAGAGAAGTGGCTGAGGCTTTGATCAAGGATTTGAAGATAAGATGGTCAGAAAGTTTAGATTGCATTATTGGAATTGATATTAAGAGGTTGGATGACGTATCTTTTGAATTATCGCCAGGTGGACTAACTAACAAAATTATAGAGGAATTCTTAGAAACCCCCGGAAAACTCTCAACCCCGCTGAATTTGTCAAACCTCCCGACTTCACCTACGGACGACGAGGAGTCTATTGATCGAACGTCTTATTTATCAGTTATTGGCTGCCTTAACTATCTAGCCATAGCGACGAGACCAGACCTCACATATGCGACCAACTTTCTCGCACGATACTCCGCACGTCCAACGAAACAACATTGGGATGCGATTCAAGGGGTGCTTAGATATTTGAAGACCACCGGATGCCTGAAGTTGAAGATCAAGCCATTGAAAGGAGAAGTAAAGACAGGGTTACATACTTATGTGGACGCGAATTGGGGTGGTGAATACTCACGGTCGGTACATGGATTTGTGATGTTTTTCTTAGGATGCCCATTATCTTGGACTTCAAAACGTCAAGGGTGTGTCGCAACTTCCACTTGTCACGCAGAGTATATGGCCTTAGGAACAGCGGCGAGGGATGCGGTGTGGTTGAGGAATTTGGTTAGTGATGTAGTGGGAGAGATGGGTCCTGTTAGCTTATTTTGTGATAACACGTCTGCTATTCATGTGTCCAAAGACAATTCCTCAAACAAACGCACCAGACACACAGATAGAGAATTCTACTATGTGAACGAGCAATTATTCAAAGGAACTGTGACACTTCATTGGGTAGATTCGAAGAATCAAAAAGCAGATATATTGACCAAAGCTCTCGGACCTCAACTTTTCGAAATAGGCAGAAGAAATCTTAGTTTAGAATGAAGTTTCTTATTTTTTTACAAGTTTTGTGTTGTTGTGTTCATGATTTTATGTTTTTCTTTTCTGTTATTTTTTTGTCTTTCAATCTTTAGAGGTTATCTGTGGCTTGTCGTGGGGGGGGTGTTGTAGACTGGTGTGTGTACACGACTGCGCCACAGCAGATCACGTGACTTTGTACAGCTTGTGTTAGATATAGTCTCTGATCCTCGGCATCGGCTTCCACATCATCATCAGTTGTGGAGCCGATACCTGGGATCTGAGCTAACCTCACATCTCGTCCTATCTATTATAGGTAATGAAAATCATCAGTTGTGGAGCCGATACCTGGGATCTGAGCTAACCTCACATCTCGTCCTATCTATTATAAAACTGAGTGGCCAAACACAGCCCGGTAGTGGAATGGCACAGGGCGAATCCCTGCTCCGTCGGAGGGGCTGGAAAGCCCGGCATAGATGATGAGGGTGAGGTATGAGTGACTCCTCGCAAAGGCACTGAGTTGGGGGGTTCGACTTCCCAGGCTCACGATTCTGTACCTTCTCGCGAGGAGAGGGGTTGAGAAGTCGAACCTTCTCGAGCCTATTCTCGCCCAAGGGAGGTGGATCTCGAATTGAGTTTATTATTTTCTCGATTTGGGGTCCACTCCTCTTGGGACCCCCCACACACCACGTACAGTCAAACCCGCGCAAACGCATAATTTGGGTGGAAGACTTTTGCTATGCATTTTGACGGGTTATGCATTTCTGTTGTCAAATTTGGCAGTAAAAAGCGTCAAGATTCTAGATTTTTTCTATGCATTATCAAGGGTTATGCACCTGCGCGGGTATGCATTTGCGCGGGTTTGACTGTATAGGTTATGGAGTCCTAGAGGGACAATGTAATCTAGGTGGATGGATATGCTCGGGATAGATTAGGCAACTCAACTCAGAAACGTATCTGTACGCTGAGTGGTGTGAACGTGGAGAGATCCTCAGGTCTCCTTCACCTAACCAAGAACTACCACCTTTCGAATAAGGAATGGATTGGTAGTGTTCAGGAGCCTGAGGATGTACAATATAGTCCATTCCTGAGGAAGAGAGGAGTGACAGGTGCGGGTGCAATCACACATAGATGTCATAGGAACTGTGACATTTATGTATGGTGAATTTGGAAGAATGGATTGAGAGGGGGAAAAATTTTTCCTCACAACAATCCTTCCAATTTCACCATTCCTATCTCTAGCACCGCATCCTGCACTCCTCCTTGGGCAAGTGATTGTCGAAGAGTATACCAAAACTCTTAGAAAAGTCAGTTAAAAACCCACCCGCCTCCCGGGTTGAGAAGTCGAACCTTCTCGAGCCTATTCTCGCCCAAGGGAGGTGGATCTCGAATTGAGTTTATTATTTTCTCGATTTGGGGTCCACTCCTCTTGGGACCCCCCCCCACACCACGTATAGGTTATGGAGTCTCTAGAGGGACAATGTAATCTAGGTGGATGGATATGCTCGGGTAGATTAGGCAGCTCAACTCAGAAACGTATCTGTACGCTGAGTGGTGTGAACGTGGAGAGATTCCTCAGGTCTCTCTTCACCTAACCAAGAACTACCACCTTTCGAATAAGGAATGGATTTGCTCACGACAGTGTTCATTTGCCTCCAAGTCCATCCAGCGGCTCATAGTATGCTAGATTTTCAGTTGCCAAGTAAATACAGCGGTGCAGCTTTCAAAGTCGTGATATGATCGACTCAGCAAAAGCTTTCCTGTGTGGATCATGACCGCCTATCCGATGGGTCTCGCAGCATCTCATTATCGGCGTGATCTCTCTCTTCTGATGGCACTCAGGTTACAGCCCAAAAGATTATCGCTGTAATATATTCAAGCACTCGACTCATATAGAACGGTCTCCCACACGGTCTTCACAGCGTTCATTGAACTTCAAAATGTGTTATAACTTCTTCGCCTACGGTTTGTATTTTTTGGCGGCCTCATTTCCTCAATATTCACATGGATTTCTTGAAGGTGTCTTATTTCCCCAGGCTATCAAGAAATGGGCTTTGCGCGAACCAGCTTTAAAATTCATGGACAACCTGCCAGCTGATGAAGCTATCCTATCACGTGGCAAGAAAGATGAAGACTTTCAAAAAGGTTAGTTCATCATGAACTCTTTACGATTTATCACCTTTCATTTCAAACATTTCATCGCCGACCGACCACATCAGGTAAACCGGAGGTACAACTAGATTATGGAAACTTTATTGGTAAAAGAAGAGGTGAAGTGGAGTCTTTCACCGGAATACCTTACGTGAGTTCCATGGTATACAATCAGCGGAGTTAAAAAGACTGACGCCTAATTTCCTCGATCGAATCACTAGGCTGAGCCACCAACAGGACCAATGAGATTAAGAAACCCAGTACCGCCTCGTCGTACATATCCAAATTTCAATGCTACGGTAAACCTGACCCAAACTAAGTTCTCTACATCCCCCCCTGTTTGACATTTATCTGTTTATCTTTGATGCGAAACATTCGATATCTAGACATTTCCACCTGGGTGTCCACAAAAGTGGCCTGTCGCAGGACGACGTGTTTTAGACAAAGTTTTAACAGAAATAGTCTTATCGCGACAGAATTCGCCTGTTATCGGTCCTTTGGCTGTTGGGCAAGAAGACTGCTTAACACTTGATGTAATTTTATTAACTTTTGCTTCAGTGTTGTGTACTTTTGTCTCACCTTTCTGAAACACATGATGATACACATACTCAGGTACAAAGACCGGCACTGAGAAACAAAGGGACAAGCTTACCAGTCATGGTTTACATTTGTGAGCATTCATATCAAGGTCTAAGCATCTTGACAAGTTCCGCGAATTAAACTCGATCGATTGTCCTTCAAATTTGGTGGCGCTGGCGAGTTCGGAGGGTCAGGCTATTATAGCGGTGAAAACATCGTTTCGACTAGTATTGAACTGAAGACCCCGATCATCTTTGTAGCTATGAACTATTGAATGAATGTCAATGATTTTTGATTGATAGAGCTTTGATTATGAGGAGTTAACTCTTATCTTCTGCTCGCAAAGGCTTTCGGTGCCCTGGGTGGTAAGGAGGTCAGGGCAGAGGGTGTCACCAATCTCGGTTTGAAGGATCAAAGATTGGCTCTCAAGTGGATCCAGGTAAAATTCCCAAACCGATAAATTTCGTTAAAAGAGATGATTGAATTTAAAAGCAGCCTTGTGTTTGATGGCTTCTTCAGAAATACATTGGCAATTTCGGGGGTGACCCATCCAAGATTACTCTAGCTGGCCAATCAGGTATTTCGACGTCACTTCCTCTGTTCCTTCCCGGACAGACGCTTCTCTTGGGAGTCATTGCGAAACTTGGATCATAGCTCAAGCAATCGATGTGTTGACGTTATTACAGCCGGTGCAATCTCTGTCTCGCACCACGTTATGGCTTACAATGGAAATCACGAAGGCCTCTTCAGAGCCGCCATTTGTCAAAGGTGATTCTTTAGGGAAGACTCTGATGCAGATACGGGACTAACACGTTTTCTTTCAAAGTGGAACTGCAAATCCCGGTCCCAGTAAGTCATTTGCCTGTACAAGTAGCAGATTCGTTGCCACACACAAGTTGAAACTAGTACACAGATTCAGCTGCGGGCGGACAGAAGGAGTTTGACGAGATGGTGAAGGCGACTGGATGTAGTCGTCAAAAGGATCTGCTACAGTGCCTGAGGGACCTTGACTTTGACACCTTCTTGTACGTTAGTATCAACCCTATCCTCAAGAGGCAAGTTCTTGACAAGAGGCTGATTCTGAGCTTTGAGCTAAACATAGTCGTGGAGTTTCTTTGATCGAGGGGCCACTTGGGATGCAAGAAGCTCCATTCCGATGGATCCCTCGCATCGACGGAGATTTTGTGACAGACACTTTGATCGGATCATTGACCAAAGGAAACTGTCAGTCGTGATCTAGCTTTCGCAATTGCAGATATTCCTTTGTCTGACCTTATATTGAATATTTCGACGATTGAAATCATTCCACAAAAGTTGCCAAGATTCCAATGATAACAGGTGATCTCGATGATGAAGGGACATTTCTAACACTGGGATTACTTCCCATTATGAATGAAAGCCGCTTGCGAAATTGTAATGAGGAGTTTGCGCTGATCAATTTCGATTGTTTCTATAACAGCTGATCAGAAGTCGTCGTTATCCTTCATCAGATCTCAGTAAAGTTTTTTTCAAAACGCATCGACATCTGAGATCGAAGAAATTTTAAGTCTCTACCCAAGTAATCCAAGCTTAGGTTCACCCTATGATACCGGTTTTTCAAACGTCTTGACTCCTGTTTCTAAAAGGCTGGCCTCTCTATTTGGGGACTGTCAATTCCAGGTATAGTTAATCATGTAATGTGTCTGATTCAGCAGAGTTTCAAAATAGTGTCCAAAGAGTTTAGTTATTGCTTTCATACCTCTAGGCTCCACGCAGAACGTTCCTCGAACTCACTCGGGCCCATATGCCTGTTTGGAGTTACATCGACAAAGGATTCAAGTGGTTTCCTCTCTTAGGTATTGTATTCATATCTTTTTTTTGCTTCACGATATCAATTCCAAGATGATACTGATATGATTAAAAACCAGGCGCTTTTCATAACACAGATCTTCCTTTTGTGTTTGGTTGGCTACCTGGAAATCGTACAAAGGACTACCAATCTCGCTGGATCGCGTTTGTGAATACAATGAATCCCAATGTTGAAGGCCTCCTCAATTGGCCGGAATACGGAGAAGATTGCCAATTGATATCGATTGGGGCTCAGGGATCAACAGGGACAATTAGTGATACATTCCGCTCTGAGCAAATGAGATATCTTAGCTCACATTCAGTATCTCTAGCTCTCCAACCCAATTGACAGAACCACGGATAAGCCTCGTCAATGTGAAAAGTCTTTTTTAGTCTATGATGAGCTTCTTTGTCAAGATGTAATCATGCTATACTGGAGTCTTGTGTCATTGACCCGTGGCTTGCAGCTCACTTTGTATATGCCCAGGGCTTGCATCGGGGTTCTGTTCTCACTGGCTTGCATTCAGTCAATGAAACACGTTTTGCAACCTAATTCGCAGCTTCATAGTCCTGGGATCCAGTGACATATGATGAAAGATGAAGACCGTCGTACTGTTGTGGATTGAAATATCTGTTGAGGATGCATATATGTTATTCTTGACAATATAATATTTGATAATTTGAAAAAGATCAATTAATGTTCCATCTAATACCGTGATTCCAACAACATCTTCCATCAACAATTTATTCTTAACTTTTTAACTTCATCCCAGATTTTCTTCCACATCCACTACAAACTCTCAAATGATTATCAGTTAAGACTTCAAAATCGACCACACACCGATCTGTAGACGCACAAACACTTCAGTACAACTCTAGTATAAGAGCAAGAAAATGCAAATACAACTGACCCCAGACAAAACTTGTCTCAAACATCCCCAACAAAGCATTATCAGACTCGGTTTTCTTTCCGCACGCCGAGCAGCAGCAGAGATGACACCTTCAAGGCCTCCGTATCTGATAGGCTATATAATGGTACATCGAGTGCAGGTAATTGCGGTAGAGTCCGTCCCGGTCAGCTTCAAATGATAGATCTAGCCCTTCTGTGTCTGGTTCCAATCTTCCTGTCACGTCCTGCAAGTCACAATGTACTCTTGAGATTTTTCGTGGGCATGAAGACATAAACATCCCAATTCGTGGTAAGGCCAGCTGGAAAGCATCTATCGATTTTTCGGTCATGAGTTTTCATCGTAATTTGTCGTTTCATAGGATCAAGGTCGAAATTCTTCGCTGACAATCCGAGTGGAGACTCGAGTGAGACTCGAGAGTACATACTTGCTGTTCTTCAAAATCGATGTACACTGGAAGGCGCAAGAGCGGCGAAATCTATGAGAGGTCGATGAGTTTGCATTCGAAGACGGAAATGACAATAACCGTTTGTGCGAGTACTACCTTTGCTAAAAAAGTTGACCGGGTCGACCACTGATGAAAGAGAAGTGAGCTCGAATTTGGCCGCAGCCTGCTGTGCAGCTGCTGCGCAGGTCCCCAAAATCCAAATCCGATGCACCCAAAAAAACTTCAGGGTCCCAAAATCACAGCCTGCAGCCTGTATTCAACTCCACCTCATCCTCACCGTCACTATTCTTGATTTGATTTTTTGCATCAAATGCCATATCGTTATTATTCACCAGACATCAAAGTCCTGGCGGTGACTTGGCGACTACGAGGACTCCCTAGGTCAATCATTCGACGCCGACTGAAACAGCCCATATCTGAACGTTCATTTCGGCGATGGATGGCTCTTTACCGCCACACTCGAGCCGTTATCCGAGATCCTCATGATTACCAGCAAAGAGGTCGACACCGAGTTTTGAATAACAATGATCGTCAATTCATGGAAAGAATCATCGACGAGAATCCATCACTTTTCCTGGACGAGGTGCGGGAACAGCTTTACAATGCACACGGAATAATGCCCTCAAAAAGTACAATCCAACTTGAACTTCGATCCCGCCTACTTATCAGTTTGAAGAAAGCCGCAGTGAGCAATGTTCGGAAGAATGTCTGGGCTAAACTCCAATGGATGAATGAACACATGGACACTCCTTCTCATTTTATGGTGTTCACTGGTGTGTACACTCTCTTCTCTATATTATTTTCTTTGATAATTGATTCTCTTCCTTTTTTATTTTGATTTCATTACATCTGCATAGATGAGAGTGCGATCTGCGGGCGTGATCTCCTGCGAGTACGACAGCGAGCAAAAATTGGGTCACGAACTAGTCGCAATGTTCCCAAACTCTATCGGAGTCGCTTCTCACTCCTCCCTGCGATTAGTTACCACGGCATCTTGGCTCTATCGGTGGTAGAGGGCTCGGTTAAACGAAAACGCTTTGAGCAGTTTCTCGAATACAATCTGGTAGGTTGCATCCTCATCTATATTAATCTCTTCACTAATCTCTTGCATGATAACTCAGCTCCCCCGCATGAATCGATACCCAGCTCCCAACAGTATACTTGTCCTGGATAACGCATCCATCCATCATGGTGGGCACATTCGTGAGCTATGTGAAAGAAAAGGTTTGTTTTTCATCTTCCATCTCGCCTCAGTTCCTCTTGAGTGTCTACTCTTTACTAACAAGTGTGGTTGGTAGGTGTTCTCCTCCGATATCTACCTGCCTATTGTCCAGAGTTGAATCCGATTGAATTAGGATTCAACGTCTTGAAATATCGTCTTCGTAGGTCCCAAATTCTGTCTCACACTAGAAACCCTAAGGAACCGATACGTAAGGCAGCCATGGAAACATTCGATGCCACCTTAACAAAAAAACTTTACCGTCGCTCCGGATATCGCATGTCTCAAGATGTACATGTCTAAATGTTGAATTTGTCAATCAACTTTCTCAAAAAAATCATTTCAATTCGCCAATTAGCTCAATCAAAACCTTGCAACAATCTCATCTGCCATCGATATCATTCCTAAACTTATCCTCAGTTGTTATCTTTTTATCTAACTTTTTTCACATGTTGAAGAACGGGTATGAGGATTGAAGTGAACAAATTTGCAATGTATCACTTTGGTAAACCTTTGTTGTGAACTCAAACCAAATCAAGAGACACATTGAGTGATAGAAAAGCCCAACCCATTCTGGATTGGCCTTGCAGTAGTCCAAGACTGATGAGTAAGAGTGACAAAGAAAACAATCGATTGTTAAATCGTTTGTTAAATAGAACGATCAACCAAAATGGAATCGATCACAGATCAATCAACCAAAAGATTCAATAGTGAATCAATCATTACTTACATCCATCACTTGAATGATGGCTGATCAGGATATTTCTCTCAGATCGTCATGGTGAGAGTGCGATCTCAAAAATAATCGCATCCAAGCTCTAAGTTCTATGCGATCAGTTTTGAAATCATCTTGGGAGTCCTCAAATCGCATTTACTCGATCACAACACCGCAGCAAAGATTTCAACAGGTTCTTGACCTTCATCTCCTTGTTCTCATGTTGTTTGTTGTGTTTTGACTCGGTGAGAATAAAAATCAATACTATGTTACCAAAAAAAACTTTGAGTGCCAACTTGTTAGGTCAATTGATCATTACATGCATCATTCAAATGATGCATGATCTTTCTCTTGTATCATTAATATGAGAGTGCGATTTCAAAGATGATGGCAATTGTGTTGAAAAGGATCAGAGTGCTCATAAATAATAATCTCCTATTTTACTGAGTTCTCACTATCTGCTGAGACAAGATAGATTTGTATGTCGTTTCAAATTTCATTTGATCTTGGGTTAAATAGAATCAAAGGGGGAATCTGTAAGAGAACAAGTGGAAGCGTATGTATTTGAATTGAACTTGATCGGGGGGTGAGATTTTACTTGAGGATATCATCTTCGAACTGCCTTTCTTTGCTGACGGCAGCGTTTTTTGTATTTTTGAGCGTTGGTGTAGAGTGTGTTGATGGCTATCTTGTTGAGGCCTTTCTCAGCAAGATCTTCGCGAGGTAAATCTTCTTTATTGATATGCCTGTAATCACTCACTCCCGCATCTCTTAACATCTGCCTGGTCTCTGTATGAAGGTCAGGAGGTAAGGTACAAAAGTCCAGAAAGCCGTCAATGCCATTTGGTCCCGAAGGGTCGTAAACAATTGGTGGGGATGATGAGGGAGGAGGAGAGGTGACTGGTTGTTCAGGTTGGTTAGAATGATTAGGATTGGCGCGATGATGATCCGGAGCAGCTGAAGTTGGCTTTTGAGGTGATCGAGCGGTCTCAATGGCGTTTACCACACCAACAAATAGATTAGCAATCGATGAGGCATCAAAGGGATGCCCACTGCCAGCTGGTGTGTCTCTTGAAGCCTTGTCCTTTTTCTTGATTAAGTCGTATTTCATGTGAGCCGGAGGATGATCAAAATCAACCTCATCATCATTCTGACATATAAAGATGTCAGCTTCTTTGACCTAAAGACAGTGACAAAGGCAAACAACTTACTCGATGTTTGGCCCACTCTGTAGCTTTGTCTAGCGTCAGAGCAAAATATCGAGTTGGATTCTTTGGGTCTATTATGGGGGCATAGTCATCATTGTAATTCACGTCTAGCTTATGAAGCTTCACAAGCTCAGCAGCCCATTTATTCTCCGGAGACATAGCCTTCTCAGAGGTTATGGTTGAATCAGAATCGTAATTCTCCTCTTTGTACTGATAGTTCAAAGAGCATCAGCAATTTTCAAAGGTGTGTACTTGAAGGAAAGGGTAGATCACTCTACTTACATGTTCAGACTGATAATCATCAGAGCCAGATGCGTGCTCGTCCTTCTTTTTGGATGGTCCTCGTTTCCGCTTGCGCTCAGCTATTTTTTGCTCTGCCAAGGCAGTAATGACTTCGGCTCGAGCAGCCTGGAAAGGGAACTGATGTGAGCTTTGAATCAATCTGGGAAGAAAGATAGAACTTGCCCGTTTTTTCTGTTCCTTGACTTTGTTTGGATGAAGGGCCACATAGCAAAGTCCAGCCTCTTTTTTCGGATAGTGACCATGCGCTTCTTCAACCCAGGTCTGAACATTCTCGGCCGTTAACAATTTGCGAGTATTGTTTGTTCCTTTGGGAAAATTTTGAGTTTTTGAAATAAAGGCTGTCCACTTTCCAGAGTCCTTGAAAATCGACTTCTTGATCAACGGTGTCATTGATTTTCCAGTAGCAATGTTGATTGCTGCTTCAGCACATGCAGCCTTCAGTTGTTCCAAGTCAAATTGAGTTGAGCTCCAGTGAACCGCACAGTGTGTGCCCTTATAAAGTGCAAAACCCGACTTTTCCTCCTTGTCTAGTACAAAGAATTCACAATCAAAATAAAAAACAAACTCTTCATTCTCCTCAGGTTGGAGTGGTCCTCTTTCAGCTGCTGTTGGTGATGTCTGTGGAATCAAAGTGTGATCAAAAACAAATCAGACAGTGCATTAATCAAATGTTGAAGCAAAAGCATGGAGAAATATAACCATACCTCAGGTAAATCCAGAGTCAAATCCAGAAAGAGAGGGTTCATGTGGGGGTGTAAAACCATGTTGATTTAAGAAAATATCAATATATGAATGGAATGGGACCCAGGGGGTTGAAACCAATCCTACAGCAGGCTGTGATTTTGGGACCCTGAAGTTTTTTTGGGTGCATCGGATTTGGATTTTGGGGACCTGCGCAGCAGCTGCACAGCAGGCTGCGGCCAAATTCGAGCTCACTTCTCTTTCATCAGCGGTCGACCCGGTCAACTTTTTTAGCAAAGGTAGTAGACTAAGTTGAGTCAAGATGTTTATCGAGTTCGATGGCGGTTGTTGCGACGTATACACACTCGACTCATTCGAGGATCGTTGGAAATGGGCCAAAATGCCCAGAGCCTGTATAAAACCTATACCAGTTGTAAGAGTGTCACCGTTACAAGAGGTAAGAGCATCCACAACGGTCCACCTACTTTGCGAGCCCTGGAACAGACCCCCGATCCTGATTTTGTGGATGTAGGGGGTCAAAAAAACAGGTGTCCACAGCGGTGCACTTGAAGTCAGGGGCCAGAACTCGATTGAGTGATATGGTATGCTTGTACCATATCATCTTGTTTCGAGTGCGGTTTGAGACGTGACTATATCGGTCACGTGGAAGCAGTGGCACGTGATATTGGGAGCCCCTATAGACCTCGCAGATGTGGGGGGTCCGGATGGAAATCTGGAGGCCCCCGACGTCTCACCCCCGATTGTGCGAGCTCCGTTGGAGCGTTTTTTTGCGTTTTGACCCCCTACATCGCTGGGGGCCCGCAAAGTAGGTGGACCGTTGTGGATGCTCGTCTCCCTTGCTCGCGGTCGGAATAAGTCGAACCAAAAGTTTTGAGCAAACTTATAATTTGACCAGGGTTGGTGATTTGAAAACAAATTGCTATGTATGGGAGTAGCAAGCTCATTTGGAAGGCCTTGCCGCCGAGATGTGAAGGGTCCACAGCCACGATCACCGCAGAGTAGGTATTTAAAACACCGAGCTTCAAACCAGCCTTTGCCGGTTTCTTCACCCCCCTTTTCGTCTTTGATTCCATCTGTTAATACTCTGTTATCCTTGTCGTCTCTGATTATATCTGTTAGTATCCTATTGTACTCTTGAATTAACTCTTGAACCACATCGACTTGTTTACGTTGTCTTCGAACATCATCTCAGGTAAATCCTCTTTCAACCTTTGGTGTTACCCTCTTTGCTATACCTGAAATTAAATTGTACTGAGGCTTTTATCGTCACACTTCGTATCTGATTTAGCGGCTAGCCTCTTCTCTTGATCTATTCATTTACTTGCGCTTCCATATTATCGCGCTTTAGTTGTATACTGGACCTTTCGCACAACATCATGTCAGCCTCGCCCCGACCAAGGAATTTACGTGCACTGGCTGTCGGTGTGGTCTTACTCCTCGTTATTCAAGTCAGGGGTCAATCAATAGTGAGTTACCGAGTATCCTTCAAGCCCTGTATCTCATTGCTTGCCGACTGACCACAACCACCTTAATTCTCAGCCGATTTGCGATGCGGGAAGACTCGCGGCATGGCTCACCCCCAGCCGGGGTCGGCCAATGTAATCAAATCGCAGGTGGTCTTCCCACTTTTACTCTGATTCAGGCGCCTACTGCTTTCGCACTTCGCGCCAGCAACCCATTGACCTGTGGCGCGAATGGACGTTGCCCTGCCGTGACCCCAATTGCTTCGAACTTAATTGTGAGTCAGAATGTGGTCTACAATCCAAGTCGATTTAATTTCTGCTTGTTGACATGGCCATTCTACTTCTCAGCCGATCTGTGATGGACCTAGAGTTGTGGCATGGCTCACCGCGAATAGGCAGCTATTCCAATGCCAGAACGTTCAAGGTGGTATCTCTACGTTTTCTCTCAATGCGGCACCCACGACTTTCGCACTTCGCAGTAGCAACATTGTATTGACTTGTGGCCAGAATGGGTTGTGTCCTAACATTAACCCACCTAGAAACAACTTGATCGTAAGTCGTATCATACTTTCCATCTCACATCGACTATCTTGGCTGTTGGCTGAGTTATCTGCATTCCTGTAGTCAATTTGCGATGCGCAGGGTCTGACTAGGGCGTTCCTCACCCCCGATTTGCGGCTGTTGCCGCCAGGGGGAACGGCTGTTGCAACTGGGTCCGGTCAATGCCTCAATCAATTTAATCCTCCTCAATTTCGGCTTACTGCGTCGCCCAATTTTGGGCTTGTTAACGGCGGCAATTTGTATTGCACAAATCAGCAGTGTATTGGTAGGCCATGGTTCTAATCGAACCCCGACCCACTTCAATGTATGGTGAGTGTTAAGTTTGATTTCAAGTTGATTTGCTATCTCAAGTTTCACAGCCGAGTTCATGATCATCAATCATTACCTTCTCATTTCATTATATTATATTTCCAGGTTAAGGTGTTGTGGCATACATTGGCTGTGTCAAATATATCCACCCGTCAAGATTTCACATTTCACCTATAGCTTCCAGGTGATTTCTCTTTGCAGGCGCCAATGCGCTTCGCCTAGTTATTTATGCCAATCGAAGTTCTCGTTCAATATTCAAGAAAATCTCCCATTCATATTTGAAAATGGACTCCTGTACATAAGGCCCAACGAACAATGTTGTATCTACTTACTTTCAACCTTTGATTTGGTCCGTCTGTTTTATAGTTTAGTTATTTCTATTTTGCCTTCATCCTTGAAAGCGCTGCGTCTCTCAATAGGCCTATTTCCATCTTTGTCTTTGACTCGACTTTTGCAGTTACAATTTGAAATTGTAATCTTTGGAACCAGTGTCTTTACTATAAAGACTCGCTAGCCACGTGGCATGCCGGAACCAAGCCCAAATCAACTCAATTGTGTTGCTTTTGCAAAATGTGGTCCATGTCACAAGAGCTCAAATTGCCAAAGGGCATGATCGTGGCACTTTTTCAAACATGCCACTTAGGGCTGTGCCCCGGCCACGAAGCATGGTGGACCACTTGTTGAAGAGGAAGATAGTTTGGAGTGAATAACTTGCAATCTGATATATTTATTGGATTATTGGTATAGGTGTACATAGGCCAAGAATGGATGGAGTATGGATGTTCTCAAACAGGAAGGTTGGGTGCACAGGTAGTCATTGGGGGATAAACTTCACCCAGTCCCTGTTCAATGCTGAAAGGGATAGAAAAAGAGGTAACGGTGGAGGGGGGTCTTGATTGTTGGATAAGTCCCAATGAGGACAGTGTGATTTGGGGAAATCTCGTTTGCCTGATAGGCTGCCTGGTGATTTGAAGATGTAGCATATTGAAAGCAAAAACCTGCAGGGTACTGATACATGAGTTCAGGTACATTACTATCAACATTATTCTGCGGACTTTGAGCAGTTTGGTTGTGATCCTGTTGGTGGAGAAATTGAGTCATGCTGTCAGGTTGGGGGGCTGGTGTTGAGAGCATTGCAGAATGTTCAAAGTTGGTAACAAGATTGAGCATGCAAGAGAGATAATAGATGCAATTTTCACTCTTCTTTTGTGTGAGCAAGAGGGAGGGACTTTAATCTTAACAAAGCCCTCTCTGTGCGGCCGCGTACATGCCCTTGCCAAGGTGCTTATGACTAATCATGGATTCTTCTAGCCAAACCTGATAGGCACTCTGAATAATGTGGCCAAAAACGTGGTGTGAAGATTCTTACAACATGCCTGTATTGTTGATTCAAAAATTGGGTACAGTGTGAACACATGCTGTTGTTGGTGTTCAATCAACAATTCCAGCATCAGGTACTTAACTACGGAAGCCCTGAGCAAGGGGGGTGTGCCAACTCATTACACTACATACAAACACAATGCACAAAACACAACACTCAACACTCATGAGCAAGGGGGGTGTGCCACAGTCCACCTCATTAATACACATAACAAAAATTTAGAACACACATCAAATTCAAAACATAGCACTCAACACTCATCACTCATCCATAACAAAAAACACCAATCACTTTCACACCAACTCTTGAACTCTTGGAATCATTCCTCATCCTCTTGTGTGTCCCTTCGATCCTGTAAGCTGACCAACCAAATGCAATCCTCAGCCCCCTTCCTCAATCCCTGAATCTTCCTAAACCTTTTCCCACCAAGGTCCAATCAATTTGTTTTTCCCTTGAATCCTCATCAATTCGATTCAGCTCATGAAACCTTGTAAACCAATCATTTAACCAATCTTTAACAAACCAAATCCGATCTTCTTTCCCATTCCACCAACTAATTGGATCTGTCTTTAACAAACTTTCAATCCAAACCTTCCCTAAGCCATCAAACTTTTCTGACCCAAACTCTTAAGAATCAAATCAAACAATTCATTAATCCTGGGATTCTGAATTCATTAGGACTTATAACAAAAAATAAGTCGGTAGATTGATGCAATCCTAAGAATTGTCTTGAAACTTGAGATAATGAATGATGATCATGATTTATGAAGTTTAACAGTTTGATCAGTTTAGTGGGTTCTTGTTTAGTAGGTTACAATCGGGTTAAAGTATTGAGCTGGTGCTAGTGGTGGTGTATGGTAATTTAAAAGTTGATAGATTTTGAGAGTGTGAACCAATGTGATTCGATTAGAAGCGAGATAAAGATTGAAAAAAGTTGATTATTGACATTGGTAGAATTCAGTTGATCATGAGAAGTGAAAGCAGAATGAGAAGTCAAATGAAACCCATTGGATCGGATGTCATTAAACACCAAATCCAACACACCTTCAAACTGATCTCTCAAAACTCTAGAACAAATTGAATCAGGTAAAAAAGTCCATTTACCTAAAACCATTCCAGTCTTTTCATCAAAATCTTCAATCTCACCATGATATTGACCATCAAAATCTGAATCATTTCAATCAGATCTCATTTCTAATGAATCCTCTTCTTCTTTGATCAAGTTCTCTTTCAAGACCACTAATCTTTTGTTTTCTCATTTTTGAAATCCAATCAAACCAAAACGTGAAGTGTGGAGTATGTTATATACTTGGGTGATGAGTCGTTGTATGTTGTGTTTGGGTTACATGTGTGTAATGAGGTGGACTGTGGCACACCCCCCTTGCTTGTTGTGTGTTGTGTGTTGTGTTTACGTGTAATGAGTTGGCACACCCCCCTCGCTCAGGGCTTCCATACTTAACACTCAAAAATTATGATTATTATGCTAGGAAGAAAGAGAATCTGAATTGATAATTGTGAAGTCATACTCAACATAACACTTATAATACTAATAGTCATTTGTTGTTTGTGATGTGTGTTCTCTTTCCTCATCTTTGGAAAGAGAATGTACGTACATTAACTTTTTCTTTCTCACTCTTATATTTATGATATGTGTATCTGAAATTATGTTTTCCAGCTTTTGGCTTCTCTAGAGATCTGTTAAGCAAACCACTCACCTTTACTTCATTATCCCTATCTGCTACACCTTTATAATAGGTATTTCATTGTTCAAGCTTATCTTTCTAGTAGATCTTATTTATCTTACTTATCCAGTATGTTGATGTTGTAGGTCAGCTTTCTATCTCACTAAGACTAGAGACTAAAAGTCTTCTCACATCGTGTACCACATTATCAGGTCAGCTTTCTATCTCACTAAGACTAGAGACTAAAAGTCTTCTCACATCATGTACCACATTATCAGGTCAGCTTTCTATCTCACTAAGACTAGAGACTAGAAGTCTTCTCACATTGTGTACCACATTATCAGGTCAGCTTTCTATCTCACTAAGACTATATACTAAAAGTCTTCTCACATTGTGTACCACATTATCAGGTCAGCTTTCTATCCCACTAATACTAGAGACAATAAGTCTTCTCATGTTGTGTACCACATTATCAGTTCAACCATGTTTGAATCATTTCAGACATTTTCAGCTGTACACCCCTTTACAAGTGGGACATGAGGCTTGTCAACCTGCCTCACACCATGGGAATTATTAAGTGTGAACCCCAATTGAGCAAAGTCACAGTGACCGTGTCTGCAATCTTCTTCAAGAGCGGATCTTGTTTGCCATAGGTTTGCTATGGGTTGTCTAGCTTCCCTTGAGCTGCCCTTTTGTTTAATTTATTTGTTTTTCACTTTGAAGCGCTTTTGCTTTCACTTATCACACTAACTGGCTATGTAGGTCTACTGCAAACAATGCCTCTTACAACTTCTTGTGGATTTTCTTCTACCGTGAGCTTCACTACATATGGGGTACTGTAGTTACATATGTAGTGGACAACTCAAGGGCAACTCAAGTCAAGGTAGCAAACCTATGGAAAACCTGGGGCAAACAAGATCTGAAATTGAAGAAAGCCGCGGACCCAGTCACTGTGATTTTGCTCAATTGTGGCTCACCCTTAATGATTCTTGCGGTGTCAAGAACAGCATGCACCATGTCCGTGTGGTGTTTGTCCGTCAATGAGCGCACACCTGACTCAAAGGCAGTCTGTGTGCACTTGTTGTGGGGTGAGTGCCATAAAGACACAGTGATGATGGAGTGGGTTTTCCCCCTTGATAACAAGAGATACACATGTATAAAATGATTATGAAGAACTTTCCCTGCTGGGTAGAGTAATGTTTGTCAGTGAGGGGAAGCAAAAAACCAAACCAAAATACTTAAGGACACTCAATTCTTGTAGTGCTCACACCAAGAATCTACAATTAGTCATAGGCCCCTCTGGAAGGGTGCAGACACAGCCACCCAGGGATGTTAAGCTAAGGGGGACTTAGTCTATTTCTCACTTGACTGCTAAAATTCCTCAAGCAAGAGTGTAGATGGGATTTTGATACATTTACTTGACTACCTGATTTATGTCAAGATTAGAGGTGATGTGAGTTCTGAGTCTCTGGAGTGTGAAAACAATAGTACATTGGGACTGAACTACAGGTCAGTCCAGTCAGTCCAGCAGTGTTAGTGGTTTTTAGTGACCACCAGATTCTAAAAGTGGGCAATGAAGGGTCTCAATTCTGGGCACTTTTTAGTAGCCAACTTATGAGAAACATTTGATTTACAACATCAACTGTTACAAAACCTTAGCTCAACAAAGCCCTCGGCGTCTGTGCCCTCACAGAGGGGCTTAGGACTAATCATGGATCTTTGGCATGAGCAATACAAGTTTTAAGTCCCCTTAAGTAGTTTTTTGTGTTTTTACACTTCCCTCACAAGGAAGCCTCACTTGACTCCATATGCCAAGTTGTTCAAAACAACTTTCTACATGATCCCGTAGCCTAACATGACAGGCAATCTGAGTAATGCAGCCAAAAAAGTGGTGTGAAGAGTCTTACAACATGCCTGTATTGTTGATTCAAAAATCGGGTACACTGTGGATACAAGCTGTAAGCCCCCTTACAATGGGACATAGGCCTTGAAAACCCGCCTCAAGAACAGCATGGTGGAGTGGTTATTACCTCTTGATAAGAAAAGATGCACATGTAGAAGATTATTATGAACAACTTTGCCTGTGGAGTAAAGTGAGGCTTGCTTGTGAGGGAAGCGTAAAAATGTGAAAAACTACTTAAGGACACTTAATCCTTGTAGTGCTCACGCCAAAAATTTACAATTAGTCCTAAGCCCCTCTGCAAGGGCGCGGACGCGGCCGCGCAGAGAGGGCTTTGTTAAGCTAATGTGTACACAACCCCTTCTGATCCTTCCTGTTTTTGGTTATTTTCTCAACTTTGTATGAATAAAAAATGGAAAACAACATACAAATGAAAGGAATTCCACCTCTTTTGAAAACCTGTTTCCTCTTCTAATTTTCCTCTCCTACCAACTGCTCTACATTAAGAGCCCACCTTGATGCAAAGTTATATATAC